AGCAGCGGCGGCGGGGCCGGGGGGCTGCAGCCCAGCAGCCGGGCCGGCGGCGGCCGGCCCTCCAGCCCCAGCCCGTCGGTGGTGAGCGAGAAGGAGAAGGAGGAGTTGGAGCGGTTGCAGAAGGAGGAGGAGGAGAGGAAGAAGAAACTGCAGCTCTATGTGTTCGTGATGCGCTGCATCGCCTACCCCTTCAACGCCAAGCAGCCCACCGACATGGCTCGCCGGCAGCAGAAGGTAGGTGCGCGGGCGAGGCCCAGGCAGCAGCGCCCGGACCTCGGCAGGCGGGCGGGGCGAACAATGGTAGCTAGCGGCGCCGCTGGCGCGGAGGAACAGGAGGAGGAGACCGCGCCCTGCGGCTGGGGCTACGAGGCCCCCTCTCTGCGGCCGGGACCCATGATCGGCCCGGAGCGCTGTGCCGCTCGCTCGGGCCTCCCTTCCTGGGAGCGCAGGGATGCGAGCGGGGCAGGTCCCGCTTAGTGACCCGGGAGGCTCGGGGAGTGACTTGCAGCCTACGCCGCCCAGAGAGGCCTTGCTTGTTTGCAGGGCTCCTGGCACTCTCCAGCAGCGGGCGGCTGCACTCAGCTCCGGGCCCGCCCTCCTGGGCGTGCGCTCCGCGGGCGGGGGCCCCCGGCAGGTGGGGGCGCGGGTGTGGAGCGAGAGGAGCGCCTCCCAGCAGCGCTTGGCTCGCCGGGGCAGGCGGGAGAAAGCAAGCCCAAAGGCGAAGCTTCCAGTCACACTGCGAAGGGCATCCTCCGCACCCCCGCCCGGGTCAGCTGATTGGGTCGCCAAAGGGTCCTGGGGCACTACTTTCCTCTGCTCCAGGTTCCCTCCAATTCCCCTTCCTTTCCTCACTGACCCGAGCGGGGGCATGCCCTCTACCTTCCTCCCTTTTACCCTCTTCTCTTCCCAAGGTGACTTCGCCGCCGCCTTCTGGCTTTCCGAGGCCCTCAAAACACTGCCGCTGCTGGCTCGATAAAGTGCAGCTGCAAAAAGCCTCGCAATTATAAGCATCAAAAGCTTTTTGTGTCTGAGGCTGGGGCAAGGCTGAGGCGGCTCCGGGCCGCCTTTGATGTGAAAAAAAAAAAGAGCCTATTTCCATCAGTTGTTCCTCTAAAAATTCCATCCACCCCAAGCACCTAGAACAATGTGTATTCATACAAAGGTGCTGAATAAAAGCTGTTGCTTGATTGATTGATGTATTATATTTTCTGTTGCAGGGAAACCAATACAACGTCATTTGAACATCTTTTATTTCTTTAAAAGAATTAAAAAGTGAGGCCTGCCAAACTGTAACTATTTCCACATTGTGGAATTATTTGTTTTAAATTGATACAGAATGAGTGATGGCCACAGAAGTTATGTCCTTAAAGTGAGTATGATGGTGAAGTCAAATATAAACCATACATATATTAATTAATTCAACAAATCAAACAGGGTTGTTGGAGTTAATGTTAAACCAGATGCTGTTTTGAGTTCATTTTTAGTTCTCAAATAAATTAGCTAGAAAGCGTCACTTGAATATCAAAGCCTTCAGTGAAACTCAGGGTAAATTTGAAAATACATAAAGACAGATGTGATGTAAACTTTAAATTCACGCTACACTTTTATAACAACTCCCACAAGTATCTACGAATAATTAGAGAAGATACAGGAGATGGAGTGGGGGGAGGTGGAGAGAACTCTTTAGATAGCCTAAGATCCAAGTGGGGCCTGTGTTGGTTTGTTTTCAATCCATCTGCGGGTCGCTGATTAGATTCAGCACGCTGGCCAGCTCCCCATCCGCCGGTTTATTGGCCTAAGGGAAAGAAAGGAGCAGGGGGGAGGAAGTTACCATCTGCTGCTTTTGAATTAATAGATAACCGAGAAGCAGGGATGAAGACAGTGCGACAGTTATCACATTAGATATTGGTGCTGCTGAGTTTTGGGGGTATCTTTGTTTGATCTTGGGATCCCCACTCCTCCACCCAGATTCTCCAGCGAACGGGATTGGAGAAAGGGCTCAGCAACCGAAAACCCATCTGATATTTCTCTTGTAAACTCAGCACAGCTGAAAGTGTTCCTAACTCTTGGAATTGAAGAACGTTCATTATAGCTTTTGCGGGGTAGGCAAGGGCGGGGATGCTGCTTAAATAGTTGAGCTGCACAGTCGATACACAAATCTGATTCACTTTTGTTTGCATGAGAGTGGGCGTATGTAAATACTGGAATCAGAGTTTCCACAGGTAGGACAAGCCCGCTGCCCAGCCCCACTGCCCCACGCCCCAGGTGTGAAGAAGCCTGGGGAAGGGAGATNACACCCACCATACTCGCCTGACTATGCGCCATCAGACTTGCACTTGTTTCGCTCTCTTCAAAACTCTTTGCGTGGTATAATGTTCAACTCAGATGAGGCTGTAAATCAGCACCTTGTTCAGTTTTTCGCAAATAAAGACAGGTTCTTCTATGAATGAGGAATTATGAAGCTCACTGAAAGATGGCAAAATGTTATCAAACAAAACGGGCACTAAATCATTGATCTTTGTTTTTTATATAAATAAATGAACTTTGAAAAACAGACAAAATATGTCATGACTTTTCCAAAGACCCAATAGCTCCCATGTCTATTAAAAGAAATTGTGGGTGCAAGAAATGTGATTACCTTTGTGAATGGTTGGTATTCATAATTCAAGTTAAATATTTATTGTAAAGTATGTATCTCCATTTTTCCTTTTCATATTCTTACCTAATAAGGTAGATTTCCAAGACCAATTCCTGCAAGTAGCATTATTTATCATTCCAAAACATGTTTTGTTGCCTGGTGTGAAAGATGATATTTATGTGTGGCTTAATGTTATTATTTTTAGTCTTATGATTATCCTTTAATTCAACCCTAACCCATTTTTTTTCAGCAATAATCATATGATAAAGAGTAAATTTCTCAAACAAAATAAGCCATTTTCTAAGTTTCTGAAAATACTGTCTAAAACAAGACAAGGACCAACTTTTTTAAAAAAGCAAATATTCTTTTATTCAAGTATTTACAAGATGTGATAAAAAATTACGGTGAATGTTGAAATTAAAAAATGATTACAGTAAAAGATATATTGCCATTAAACCCCCTCAAAATATTGCCCCCTTGCTTTGAACACACTTATCCCATTGTTCTTGCCACTTTCTGAAGCAGTTCTGGAAGTCCTGTTTTGTGAGTGTCTTTAGTTGTGCTGTCATGGCTGCCTCCATGTCCTGAATTGATTCAAAACGTTTACGTTTCGTGGTCATTTTGCCTTTGGGCAAGAGTCAGAAGTTGCACAGTGCCAGATCCAGTGAATAAAGTGGATGAAGACATGCTGTAACATTTTTATTTGATACAAATTGCCATACCAGAGTGATGTGTGACACAGAGCATTGTCATGATGGAGGGTGATTTATGGCACAGTTTAAAAAACACCTTCTTTCATCTATTGCTCACACCCTACTGACTGCAGCAAACAAGTTGAAACTTGTCACACACTGTTACTAAGTTTCGATGAGCCGCTTATTGAGTGCTTTTCCATTGGATGGTACTCAGCAGCATCATTCACTGTATTGTTTTTAATCACACCACATATTTGTTGATTTTTTTAATGTTGTTTTTTCTTCCAATCATTTGCATCCAATTTCTGGTCATCTTATTTATTGAAAGTCTCTTTCCCACTAGTTGAAAAAAATACGTTTAAGCCTAAAATCTGTTGAGACACATTTTTAATATAAAACCTAATTTAATTTTCATGTCATTCCATGGGAAGTAAGTACTATTATTCCTCATTTTAC